GTGTGGGAGTGTCTGGAGAGCAGTGGAGGAGTGTGGGAGTGTCTGGAGGACAGTGGAGGGGTGTGGGAGTGTCTGGAGAACAGTGGAGGAGTATGGGTCGTGAGGGTTTTGCCCTCATAGATGGAGGCAGTTTTCTTGGAATGGGTTTGTCTCACGGGAGTGAACGCTTCCGAATGCTCTGTCTTGCCCGCCGATGTTTCTACCATGGGTGGATATGGCATGAAAGAAAGCTGCTGCCTCCAGAATTGAAAGCCAAAGCACCTTCTTCTCTTTGTAAGTTGTAACTTTTCCACCTGTGAGGTTTGAATGCAGCAGCAGTAAAGCAGGAAGCTATCGAGAGCACTCCTAACACTCGGAGGGGAGTGAGCGGGGGACTAACTGGGTCCCTCGCTCGACCTTTCTCTACCTCTTGTGTTCAGTAAATTTCCTCTGGTTGTCTTCTAGGTATAGACTTAAATGTGTGTTTCATCAGCTAAAACCAGGTCCTAGGAAATATGTGCATGCCTTTTAACCCAAAGACACAGCCTTTGCTATGACCCCAAGGTGTAGATCTGTTCCAGCTGTTTTGCAGGCGCCTGCAGGTTCCTGGGGAAAGAGTTCTGCTACTGTATCAAGAAATCTGGCCTAGTGGAAACTAATATCAGTCTCTAGTGCTCCTCTTTGGCCCCACCCATCTTCGAGCCCATATTTTAGAGGTCCACTCTTCCTGCCAGATGTGTGCCAAGGTCAACCCACAGGGGCCCTCCAGATATCCCAGCCCCTCCACCAGCTCCGAGGACACCAATCAGGTGAGGACTGGCAGGTTGACTTCACCCACTTGCCCACTCAAAAAAATCTCCATTATCTCTTAACTCTTACGGACGCCTTTACAGGATGGGTGGAGGCACTCCCCACCTCCAGGGAAACAGCCGATGTGATGGCTCACGGACTCCTGGAACACATCCCCCCAAGCTCCTGGGACATCAGTGCTGGTACCACCTCCCCGGGCTCCAGCAGGCACCTATCCAGAAAGATGGTCTGCCCAGCAAGTGGGACCCTCCACCCTCCGATTTCCAAAATTGTCTCAATGAAGGGCCTGTCTGCTCTTCCGCCGTGCTCATTCATCTTTGTCAGTACAACCAGGGCACATCTCCATTCAGTTCTTCCTGGTAACCTCCACTCTCCCCATGACTAGTCCCATTCATAGGGCTGGTGCCAACAACCTATTTTTTTCTCCTAGCAACTTGCCTTCTCCTCCTCTTCCTCAAGAAACAGATCCCTGAGGCCTCCAGGGTGGCAGCTAACTGCATGCTTCTTCACCCACACCTCCCACTGAGCATAAGCCCCCTGACTCCCGACTCCCCCCTCCCCATGTCGTCCCATGCCAACAGGAAGTAGCCAGACTTGAACCTGTGCCCATACATCCAAGAATGTTGAGATGGTCAGCCGGAAGCTCTGCCTCAGCATCCCCTCCCCCTCTCCAAACCCTGCCGCTCTCAGAAAGAGAGCGCCATCCCATGGCGGCTCCTCCCATGAAGCTGCCCAAGGCCACGTCTTCAGTCCATAGACCTGCCCTGTGATTCCTCCTCCTTCCTCCCCCCGAGATCACCCAGGAAGGCTTTGCTCAGATTGAATCTGGTCCTTTACTTTCAATTCAGCTTGATCTGGCTTACTGTGTCAGCAGAGAAACCTACTATGGGGAATTCACAATACCCATCACCCCTCTTCTGTCTCTTCCTTTTATTCTCTCTGCCTGCCTCCCCCACTTGTTTCTCTCTCCTGCCCAGCTATTGGCCGTCCAGCTCTTTATTAGACCGATCAGATGTTTTAGGCAGGCACAGTAACACAGCTTCACACAGTTAAACAAATGCAGTATAAAAGAATGCAACACATCTTTGCACCATTAAACAAATGTTCCACAGCGTAAATGGATGTAACACATCTTCAACTAATATTCCACAACAGCACTCACTTGGCCGACGTTCATCTTTCAGAAACTATGTGTGCCCAAGTGCTGGTTCTTCATGTATCTTTTAAAAATTAACTTTCCTTTAAAAATATTGATTTACTTCATTTATTTATTTTTGTTATGACCGAAGTGGGTTCTCCAAAACGGCAGTGCTGGTGACAGTGTCCTAAATAGAAGGGCTCTGACTGGGTAAGCAGAGGCCTGGTGTTGCGTAAACAGAAGCCTAAATTCAGCATTCCTCAGGAACCCCACAAGGCAGGTTTCAGAGTATGACTGCCTTTAAAGGTCAGCCGCCTCAAGCAAGGCCATCTAGCTCAGCCTTCCTCAGTTCAAGGACAGTTGTTATGGAACATCTGCTTGCTTGGCCACCATTTGCCTCTTTCTGCCCACCCTCTACCCCCCAAGATAGCCTGGGTAGTGTGATCCTCAGCAAACCTTTCTTCCTACCCACGATCCAAACATTGGCTGCGTTCAACTGTTTCACTGCGCCCTACGTTACAATTTCACATCTATGGGTGTTTCCCTGGCATGCAAGTACGCCATGTGTGTGCAATGCGTGCAGAGGCCAAGAGTGGACTCAAAGCCCCTGGAATAGGAGCTGCAGACAGCTGTGAGCTGCCATGTAGGCATTGGAAACCAACCCCCCTCTCAAGTGCTGAGCTATCTCTCCAGCTCTGCTTTGTGAATTCTTGAAAGTTCCCGCCGCTCCCTTCATGCAAACACTCTGTTCCTCGCTGTTTCATATCTACATCTCCACACATGTAAAGTCATGTAGGCTCTGTGAAGTGCTCAGATGGTGGAGCCTGGCATTGTTGCAAATAGATTTTGCTCCTATTTTAACCCAATGCATATTGATCCAACTCTCTCGTTCCACCTCTCCAGCAGATAGCTTAGGAACCTATCTATGAACTAGACAACAGAGGAGGTTCACGTTTGAGCAGCATCCCAAGGAGTTCTGTGAGAGCCAGAGTTACATTTTCAGTTTTAATTACTGTGCCTTAGAGATCCATGAAACAAAAATGCCTCTGATGTGCAAGCCCCTTGCCCAAGGACAGATAGATCCTGAAAATGTTGGAGGCTAGTGTTCATATATACATATATGAGAGACGACAAGCCACATGTTTTCGCTCCCCTAAACAAATTTGTTTGACCCATTTGCCCTGGATGTGCTTGATCACATGTGGGTGGGAGGTATGGAGGCAGGAAATAGTTCAGGATGTATGCTTGCCCTTGATTGGATGTAGGCTGGAGGTATGTCAGGATGTATGCTTGCCCCTGATTGGACCTGATGGGAAATGCAGTAAATTATGGGTTTTCCTTCTTAAACTCTTGCAAAATTTGATTCAGGGCCATTTTTCTGGGGAACCAGAGATGGACCTGGCCAGAGCCCATCCACCTGGCCAGTTTTTAATTAAAGCTTACTTCGGATTTGACTTTAAACTGTGGTCTTATTCTTGATCGGCGGGGTTCACATTTTCCCTCAGGGTGTAGAATGTCTGTCACAGTGCAGAAGTCCTAAAGGTGGGAGACCCCATCCAAGAGCAGGAATAGACGCCATACCTATTACTAAAGCTGTGGGCCCGTGATTGGAGCTGGAAATGACAGCTTTCATGGAGTCATAGTAGTTCAGCTAGAAAGAAAAAAAAAGTGAGAAAAAGTAATTATTAGAGAGATCACCCACAAGGTCAAATAACAATGTTTTTACAGCATCCTCCCCCCCCCTCCAAAAAAAATCTCAGGAGGGAGAAAGGATCCACATTTCTAGGAACAGGAAAGGCTTTTAAGATACTCATTTTTGTGGGCAGTACATGTTGGTAGAATATTCAGTTCTTCCTTCCCCTCACAGGGCTGGAAGCTAATGCCAACACAAATACTCCCCTGGCAGTCTCCAGCTGGCAGGGCCAGCAGCGGCTTCTGCTGTCGAGTTCAGCTCATTCTGAGAAAAGCTGGAAGCTGTACACAGTCTGCGGAGAAAACAATTATCCTCCCTGGAAACCGTCTCTCAATCGGAAGAGACCTGGGCACCACACCGGGAGAGCCAGGTTCTTTTCAGCTCGTTTACATTTCCTATTTTTGAAAACCCGAGCTGGACCTTGAACGGGTGTATGGGGATTGGACATTCAGGGGTTTAGGGCAGGACCCTGATGGAGGGAGAGAGCCAGTCTTAGATGAAAGGAACCGGATTTGACCGAGTCTGAGTTCTTATCTCAAGCCGTTCTCTTCCCCTGAGCTGTACATCGGATCAAGCTGCAGTTCTGTTGGAGGAGCCGTTGTGATCTCCAAGATCAATGGGCTTTCTCAGCGTTTGCTCTTTGTAGGCAGGACGCTAAGCTCAGAAGTGGCTGCAAGAAAGGCAGCCTTTGTTTCTGATCCTCGTGGATCCCAGAGGCCAGAGACCCAAAGGGACAGAAAGCAGAAAGTAAGTTCTCAATGCGAAGAGAGCATGGAGTTGGGAGCCCTGGGTGACAGGTCAGCGTGGCCAGAGGGCCACCGACAAAACAGAGTATGGCAAGGGCTGCCTGCACCTGCTCATGGCAGTCAGACTCCTCAGAAACACGAGCCGCAACACCCCTGCCCGCCCCGGGAGAACAGCAGGACAGCAGGACCCGAGAACTCTCACTGTCTAGAGCCTTCTGGTCCAGGTCCTCAGCAGCAAGCATCAACTCCAGGGCTTGGCTTTGAGGCCTCATTTCGGCGTGCACTCTGCCTCCCCGACCCAGCCCTCTGCGGGTCACCTCGTCTACTGCCCCGGATCCCTATCTGAAGACTGTTCTGTTGACCTTCAGGGGCTCAAAGGGCTGAAGAGGGACAGTCAGCATGGGTTGTTGAAGAACCAGCCTGCCTCCTCCATCTTAGGCTTAAAAGTCATCTTATCGTAAAGACCAACTAGGCTCTGTGTATGGTTAAATCTCTGTTTCTGATTAAACCTCTGTTTCTCAAGGACTGGGCTGTGCCCCACCTGTAACCTTAACTGCAAATGCTTCTGTACTGCCTATCCCAGGAAAGGCAAGCATGCCTTTGTTTCAAAAAGTTGTTCTAATCATCTTGCAATCCTACCTCTGTTTCAGAAGGTTGTTATGACAACCTGTTGCTATGGCGACCTTGCTATGACTACCTTGCAGTCATGTCTTCGTTTCCAGAGGTCGTTATGACCAACTTGTTACGTTTACGTTCTGCTCCTGTAACCCCGCCCATTTTGCCCACCAAATCCCCCATGTGGCACCCCCTACCATGCAGCTATAAAACCTTGTCTTTCTCATATCCAATACTGATCTCTTGAACCCTTAGGGAGAGACAGGCTGTGTACAGGTATAAAAATACCTGCTTTAATTAATTTGACCATGATGATTTGAGTCAGTGGTCTTTCTCCTCGAATCTTTGGGATTAACATCGCCACACAGTAGATCTCTGGTAGCAAGGAACCCAAATTGTCACCCTTTATAAGAAGTCTGGCTCCATTTATACTAACTGAAGAAACCAGGCAAGATTGTTGCTTTTTCTTTTTAACATAACATGGGCTATCAGTGACCACTTAAATGGCAAAAACATAGTAGTGATGGCCTGAAGTGGGAGCCACCTAAAGGGATCTTGTAGGGTGACAGAAAGGCTCCATTTGTTGCAAGACTGGTATTTTGTTTTCTTAATTTGTGCCAGAGGTCATGTCAGAGGAGCAGCAGGTGGCAATTGAGGTTCAGGGTGTTGGCCCACCAGGAGGAAACCCACTGATGGATATGTCTCAGTTAGGCAAGCCCCACCTCCCATGGAGACCACAGACCCTGGAATGTCTTTGCAGGCTCTCTCTCTCTCTCTCTCTCTCTCTCTCTCTCTCTCTCTCTCTCTCTCTCTCTCATATCTTGGTATCTTGGCCATACAGGTCCTTTGCATAAA